ATAAAAATGTTTTTAAATGATGTTAATATAAAAATATAGAATTTTGCACACAAAAAGTGGTGTATAACATAAAACGTGTATATGTGTGTAAATCTATTTTATATAGATTCTATATTGCAAAAATATTTAATATTTAATAAATTTCTCTTCACAATTTTCGGTGCATTGTGGTATAATGAAACAGGCTTGCATAGCAACAAATAAGAATGCCATGAAAGTATTTTCTAAACATCTACAGACTGATAATGGTTAATGGTAAGAAAGTTGTGTGCAACTCCCACTCACTATGGCTACAGTAACAAACCACAATAAAGACGGGAGTGTATGACTTAACATACCATCACATTCTGGATCACTCTCTGTATCTTCTAAATAAAGCATAAAATGATTATATTACGAAGTTTAGGTATCAAATGTAATATGATGCTAATTAATTTTACCTCTAGAAGTAACTCGTGATTGCATCATTGGCAAGTTGAAAGATACATAATGCTCGTGCGAACAAATTATTTGCAAGAATGTAAATTTGAAGTCATGCAGTGTGCGTTGATCTCCGGGAGAGAAGTTGTCCATATACGAGTTGATTAGACGGAAAACAAATCCACGATCCATAAACGTAAGACATCGCTACATTAAAATGTGAAAAATTTGTGAAAAATATTTAACTACTTAAAGTATGTAATAAAACACTTTTAGCAGCAATTGTAATACAAAACTTTGTAAAACTTAAATTGATTACCAACTACTGTGTTTTTAATTAAATAGAAGAATTAATAGGAATTAATATGTATGCATATACTGCATTCACTTACCTTTAAAAATTGTGCAAGGCTTTTATTTAATTCATGAGTTTCAACCGGCATTTCTTTATATTTGTTCATAAGATAAGGCATAATAACTTCCACTAAACTTTGAATTTTTTCATGGTAGTCTTTTGAAAACCTTTCATTTCTATGCATCTATAAAATAAGTTACTTGAGCCGAATTCCTTTCCATAAATTATATTTTATGTAGTATTGTAAAACCTACTTTTATTCTCCCTGTTGAAAGCAAATGCTGTGCCATACTTTTGATCGTTATTTCAAAAAAGAAACTAGAATGATGCATAAATTTATTCACTACTAAAAAGTCAGTATTACTTGGTTGCAATAATGTAGGAAGATGTCTTGCTAATTGTTCATGAACAGTTATACTACCATTTCCTTGAGAAGGCAGCACAAAAACAAACTGTAAAACATAACAATGTAATATTCATGTATAAGATTAGATAACCACTTTTACTTTACCTTAATACAGTATTTACCTTAATATAAGCTTGAAGTGTTTCCTTCCTACCAGCTTCATGTACCATGTTTATAAAATGTATTAAAACTCTTATAATATACAACCCAACTTCTTCATTTGTAGTACAAGTTAACAACGCAAATAATTGATTTAGTATAGTAGGAAGAAATGTGATTACAGTAACTAGTTGAACGGCATGAGCAGCTTTTAATATTTTGCACGTTTCTGAATCTGCTGGTACTGCTCCTAATTTTGTATCCAGAATGCGTTCCATATGAGCAAATAAATTATGCAAATGTATATCACGTGCAAATACAGTTGAAATCAACTGAAATGCTACTGTAAATACTGGCCGTTGAGAATCGATCCATATAATTTCCGGTCCTGCGTTCTAGATCATCAGAAAATTGATTTATAATACGTTAAAAATTAAAAATATTTTTGCACTTTATCATATTTTACATTGATAAAATATGAATTTTTAATCTAATTTTATTCTTACCCCTTTTCCCAATCCAAGAGGTTGTATTGAAAGATATCCTGGTGGTAAGTGTGTTGCTACCGGTAATGTCTGTACGTTCATATCCATATCCACATTTAATCTATAATTATTGTAATTGTAATATAATTTAATTTGAAAATTTACTATATAAACATAATATTTTACATCAACATAGTACAAAATTACCATACCTTCCTTTATGCAATAAGGGTGACCAAGCATATCCAACACAGTTCTCAACTCCATTTTCTTTTTTCTTATTCATATCACAACTTATATGATAGAAAGAAAACAGCAGATGATGCTTAGCATGAAGTTTTGTTGGTAATCGTATTTTAATTTCTTCATACCAAGAAGGGACTGCATTGTGGTGTAAAACTGCGCAAGACGCTCGTAAACATAAAAGTGGAGCGCCAGGTCGTCCATATATACACTATTAGAAAAATATACAAAAGCTATTAATAGTGTTTTAATAATCTTCAAAACAATTTGTATTCTACATACTCTCAAAGGTGTGGTATTTTCACTATCATCATCTCGTAATTCAACAATACATGCAATGTTTCTAGCTCTGGTGAATATTTTTTGTGTATCAAAGCAAAGAGTTTGTGGATACACGTAGAGATGGTTAATAAAAGTTGTGTATGGATGAACATCTTTCTCTGAAGTGCTTTCAAACTCAGTAACCTCAAGGGTTGGTTCTGACGTTGGTGGTAACGGAAATGGCTTTAAAGCTGCTAAAGATGTAGATAATGTATCTATAAAGAGAAAAACCAAATTGTCACTCTTTCATGTATTAAGAAAGAGTTCATTATACAAATACATACTTTCAGGTAAATCTGTAATTGACTCAATTTTTATCTTCAACCAACCAGGTATCACAGTCAATTTACTAAGTTTTTCGGGTCTGTAACAAAACATATTAACAAATATTAATTCATAACTTATTAAATATTTTTGTATAACATACTTTCTATACTCTGAAAGAAGTTTGAGTAATTCCTCATCTTTTATCTTATTTCCTTCTTGTCTGTATATTGCTGGGAAATCTGATGAAGTATCTAATTCATTACTATATAATCTAAATAAGGGTCTAGCAGCCCAAGCAAAAGGCATTCTGTAATTCCCCAATCTGGAAAAAGCATAACAAACTAACTGATTCATGAAATTATAAAAAATTTAATTTTTAAATTATAGTCTTATGTAAACATACCTTTGGCAGCATGCTCTAACTTGTTTATGTACTTTTAAACCTAATCGCGGATCTTTTGTAGCCCTTAAATATGGTTCTGAAGTTTGGCATATATTCCCTTGCAATATTTTATCTATTCTCACAACCAAGAATATGTCAGGATGAGGATTACTAATACTAAATATGGCCTGTAAATATGTATATTGTTATTAACAATATGCAGAATAATGTTATTAATAACATTATGAAAAGTTCAATATTGAAAAACAAACCTGTTTTGGATATTTAATCCAGTCTAATGGTATATTTTTCAAGTCATCTGGTAAATTCATACTTTCTGTAGATTCTGTCATAATACCTACAGGACTTAATTCTTTCACCATTTCTTGAACAACCTCGTGATTAATATCAAAATGGAAGTTCTCAGTAAGCTTTCTACCATTTCTTGCATCATAAAGACTTAATGTTGTCTGATATGGTTCTACCTGACACAATGATTCTTTCTCATCTATTGGTGCTTGTAATCTAAATTTAAGGCTTTCACATTTTACAAAAATTCTTTGTCCAAATTGTTCTTTGTATGGGTCAATATTGTGTTCATTACAATTTCCTGGCTGTTGTTTACTGTGTGGAATATGAGGGTAAATGCTAAATAGTCGTTTACGATTTTCTCGTCTAACTAATGCTATACTAGTATCAGTTTCCCTGGAATATTTTATTAGCTGTGGATTCATACTTTGTTCCAAACCATATATATTTATCATTCAAGTAACATTTATTTGTATATTCAATACCTGCATAGGTTGAGGAGAAGGAGGAGGTGTGTTACATGCTCTTTCTAATGAAGCAGCACGTTTTTCTTCTTGTTGTTTATAATGCTGTAATACTGAGCTTAACTTTAATAACCAATCCTGCATATCTGTCTCATTATCTGCTGCTAAAGTATATGATTTATGAGTCCCGCTCATTCTTAATTCAAAACAATACCTTCCACGTTTTGGATTCCTCACAACTTCAGTGCAAAAATCCATCACTATTGTTAATTTAGCTTCTCCCTTTTTTTCATCTTTGAAAAATTCAAGAATATAAGTGCCATCAACTTCTTGTCTAAGATGACAAAACCTTCTCTTAAATGATTTTGAACCAATATGTGCAAACATACGATCACTGCTACCAATTTCTGGTCCTTTCATTAAATAACCTTCTTTTGTTATTCCATTACTTTTTGTTGACTCCTAGTAAAATTAAACCAGCTATTTTTATTTCTTCTTCCATATAAATACATTGAATATTTTATAATGACAAACAAAAGTAATAATAGAAAATGAATTTAATAATTAAGCACATATTATGAAAAGTATTGTAAAAACAATTTTAAGAAAAAATTTAATTTTATTAGAAATCACTTTGGTAAAAAATTACACTAAAAGAGAAATATAGTCTTTTCTTAAAAATTTTAAGAAATATAAAAATTGCTGTTATTTTAATTATTTTTATCTAATCATGCATTCTAAAAAAACAACACTACAATACAAATTTATTAACTTTCAATATTTTTCAAATTTTAATTCAACTTTCATAAAGAGTTCATTGAAAGCAATATATTTTACCTCATCAACTTGGTCTACTTCTGTATCAATTTCATATACTTCATCTTTTAGATCATCTGCTTTTGCTATTCTAAAAGACAAAAAAATACAAATAAACTAATACAATACACTTTACTGTATATTTTACATTTTATAAAATTAAATATTGCAATTGTTAATATTGAAGTATAAAGATGTTATTATATTAATAAACTAAAATATACTATTTGTTATTCATTTTTTAATTCTCATGTAATTAATATATATACAAGCACTTTTATCAATTAAGTTCAGTACATTACTACATGCACTAAATATAATAATTTGAATACTTGTATAGAAAAATAGTAATAATGGCCAGATATATCATTGTAAATGTAGATATAAAAACATACTTAGGTAATTCAAGATAAGTTCCACTATATGTAGAATATTTGTAATGTATAAGATTCCAATTAGATGTATAACTATGTAAACATTCTTTTGTAAGAAGGTTTTCTCCTCCTTCCTCATTATCTGAAGTTTGTGGTATTGTTGGTACAAGTGTACGATATCTTCTAGGTAATACCACTTGCTGCATTAAAA